TTGTGACCTGACTCTAGCCGGGGGAACTAGAAGAGAGGGCTGTATTATGTGAGGAGACGAGGAACCAACTGTTGAATTAATTCTCCTTGTGTTGTTGGTATTAGGATTAATATTATTGGGAGTGCAGCTCATTAGTGGGGTTAATGTTTGGGTAGTCGATACGGGATTATAATTATTATTGGTTAGGTTGGGAATAGAGCGAGACGGGGTATTGATAGGGGTTTTCGTAGAGGAAGTGGTTTTCGTCGACACATAAGGTGGAGATGTATAAGAACCACCATGCGACGCGTTATTATGGCGTTTATACGGTTTAAATCTTCGGAGGGTTCTACCTTTGTTAGTTTTATCACCAATATCATTAGTGACCTGTATAATATTAGAGGCCGTTAGTTTGTCTGGAGCGTTACTATATATATATTGGTCGGATCAGGCCATCCAAACACGCAAACCATAAAGTAATTGTATAATGAAAGACGGGGATAATTTCAACACAAATTAAAACTTAGAGGATAAATTGGAGGATAAATTGTAACAATTTATTAGGGATTGTGCTTGAAGGGAGATCCGAGGATCCGTTATAGAGACCTCCTATACGATATGCGACGTTAATTCGCGGACACGACGGCCAGAACAAGCGGCAAATAAATTATGGTGTAGAGATCTTGTCGTGTTAAGCTCTGGGCAAACTAGGAAACATTGTTGCGGAAACATTGTTTCCTACCAATGTTTCGCCATGTTTCCAAGAGTGGGCGAACACTAGGAAACATTAGTGAGAAACGTGCATAGGGAAACATCAAATGTTTCTGAATTCACTAGGAAACATTTTAATTTGCTTCTCAGGAAGCAAATTTTGTTTCCGCAACAATGTTTCCATGGGTGCATGGCAAACAGGGAAACATTTGAGGAAACATCGAAAATCCCCAAATGTTTCCAAAAAAATGCCGGTTTCCTATAGTTTGCCCTGCAGGGTTTAGGAAACATTGTTGTGGAAACATTTGTGATTCTCGATGTTTCCGCAAATGTTTCCCTGTTTGCCCACCCGTGGAAACATTGTTGCGGAAACAAAATTTGCTTCCTGAGAAGCAAAAATGTTTCCTAGCCAGTTCAGGAACATTTGATGTTTCCCTATGTTTCTCACTAATGTTTCCTAGTGTTTGCCCACTCTTGGAAACATGGCGAAACATTGCCATTGGTATAGGAAACAATGTTTCCGCATGTAACAATGTTTCCTAGTTTGCCCGGGGCTTTAGTATTATCAATTGGCCTATAAACGTGAACTTAAAAAATACTTCCCACCGAAAAATATTATTATATAGTCTTAAACTATATACAAGAATCAACTTTTTTAATTAATTTATTTCATTATTACTGTAATGTATTAATGTAAGTTAGGAGATTGATCTATTAATGTAAGTTAGGGGACAAAAATAAAAAGCCTGTATAGAGGTTTCTAGTAGTCTCCTAGCCCTGTATTGTAAATTATAATCGGAAAAATAATGTAATTAGCTATTTTGGGCGAATTAAATTAAAATTACAAATTACAAAATATTCCCAGTCCAAAATCGCAAAAAATCGTCCTAAGTCGCAGCAATGCCTTAAGGCAAAAAAATTGGTGGCGACCTAAGGCGATTTAGGGCATTTAAGGAGACTTGGTATCAATTAATACCAGGCCAATATGACGATATTTTACTATCTTTGGATACTTTTCTTTCTTTTTCTTCGCGTGGTTAGATATATTGTGTTTATCGGTAAAATGTTAACAGAGCATGAAAACTTAGCGGGGTTTTGGCTAACCAGTGATATATTTTTGTAGCATTATGCAGCAAAATGGCCAAGTATAAACCAAATAAAAATTGCCGGTCGAAATCGCATTTTCCCGCTTCGAGAATTGGGTGGAAAACTATCAAAAATAAATCCAATTTGAATGTAAACTTCTTGAATTTCAATTAAAAAACCTAACATGTGGGATGAAGTTACTTTGAAGTTACTGAATTTACTAAATTTTATAGCAAGTGCAGGAGATAATAAGTGAAAGGCCTTTCAGGGAGGAATCTGATTGGCCGTTGATATATGGAATGCGCAGTTCAATTTTAGCCAGGATTCCGCATGGCTTCCGGCAACGGATTATTCCAGAGCCTCACGTACCTTCCCGAGGATCGCAGGCTCGGGAAACGAGATTGTTTCAAAGTTCGAATTTTGATTGTAGACAAATGTTCATAGTTGGAGTTGAAATTACTGTATAAGGCCCTATGCACATATTACTGCAGTAAAATATTGGTCCAGTGAAAAATGCCTTGTTAAATAAATTTATAAATGAAATTTTTACATTTGTTTACAAATGCCCAACTTCCAGCCCAACTTCCGAATTTCGAAACGTAATTGGCAAGTTCACAACAAACTTGGGAACCGCGCTTTGAAAAGTATATGAAATCGACAATAAGTACTACTTAAAGCACGCGTAGGAGTGAATATATGAACGAGTGTTTTATAGTGATAAGCACGACTACAAGGGTGTTGAACTCATTTGGTTTATTTCGGTATATTTTATATATATATATATATATATATATATATATATATATATATATATATATATATATATATATATATATATATATATATATATATATATATATATATATAAATATATATATATAAATAAAAGGTTTTTACATACATAATACGAGACACACACACGAGGCATAAGTGTTCTCCGATCCCATGATGCTCTTCTCATAGGATATGACGTAATATGAACAACATGAAAACATTGCGCAACATCCCCACTTGTTTTCATGAACTAAAGTTATTTACATTTTTTTTTAAACTTTACTTAACTACTAAAGCCTAACACGTGTTAATTACATGTATGCCTACTACATGTATGCCCATATCAACCTAGCCAAAAACCAAACAAACGCTAATTACATGGATTGTAACCCAACTAGGATGGGTCTAAACCTGTCCAGTTTAACTTTGGTAGCTGGTTTAGTAAGTATGTCTGCCACCATATGTTCTGTTTGACAATAAACAATGTCTATTTTACCACTTATAAGTACTTCTCGTAAGAAATGATACTTAATGTCAATATGTTTGCATCTTTGTCTACTTAACGGATTTTTACTTAATTAAGGCTATTGCCCCTTGATTATCCTCATTATATTCGCGTGCATGTATATATTTTGCTATCCATACTGTTAAGTAACTGCATCAAATATAAACTTTCCTGAGTATAGTGGCTGCTAAACTTACATACTCTGCTTCACAAGTTGAAAGCGCAATTGTGGGTTGCTTCTTAGACTTCCACAATATGGGAGGACCATTCTCTGTTAAGCTAAAACAGTACCCTTTTGTACTGTGTCGATCATCCAACGAAGATGCCCAGTCAGCGTCTGTATAAGCAATAAGATTATGCTCGCCATCTCACTTTCTAAAACACAACTCATGCTCCATGCTGCCCTTTAAATATCTCAGTACATGCTTTGCAGTCACTAAATCTTCCATCCTGGGACATGACAATTTTTGAGATGCTTGCTAACCACCCAACTAATATCTGGTCTGGTACATGTCATCAAGTAAATCAGACTACCTACAATCTCTCTATATCTCCTTGGGTCTACCTGTTCACTATCACTCATGCCCTCAAATCAGCTCTGCTCGCATGGGGTTGTTCTAGGATACAATGAGACATACCAAATCTATCTAGTATTTTCTGAATATATCTTTTCTGATTCATTTTAATAACTCCACTTTCTTGTTTGAAGCTAATACCCAAGAAATAAGAAATTTCTTCCAAGTCTTTCATCCTGAATTTAGATTTCATGTTTTCCTTGAATTGACTGATCTTATCTGTGTTATTTGAAGCTATAATCAGATCATCAACCCATATAACTACAATTACGATATCTCCACCCGTTTGTTTTTGATAAACACAATGGTCGACTGGATTTCTAACAAATCCATCACTTATCAAGTACCCGTCTAACACCCTATTCCAGTTCCTACCCGACTGCTTAAGACCATAAAGAGATTTCTTCAACCTGTAGACTAATTTGACACCTTTCTCTGACAACTCTTCAAAGCCCATAGATTGCTCCATGAACATTTCATGGTCAATACGAGCATGAAAGAAAGCTATTTTTGACATCCATCTGATGAACAGTAAGATCATATTGAGCAGCAAGTAGCATAAGGATTCTGATTGATGTAATGTTAAACAGGCAGTTGGGAAAAATATTTCCTCATAGTCAATACCATGCACTTGACTGTACCCTTTTGCAACATATCTTGCTTTCAAATGTTTCCAAACCATTTGCATCCTCCTTGATGGTATAAACCCATCTTCCCCCCTCCCCCCCCCCATTAAATTCTTACCTTCTGGTAAGGTGGTTAATTCAAACGTGTCATTCTCCTTAAGTGCTTCCATCTCACCTTTCATGGCCTTCTCCCACCCTGAAGCTTCAGGGGACTCCATAGCTTCAGTGTACGTTTGTAGCACACCGCAAACTTTATAACAATAATCAACATTTACATTGGCTGAATTATTAACTCCAAAATATTGTGGGGCTTTTCTCTCCCTCTGAGGATAAACCTTAGCCTCATGATCATCTTCAACATCTTTACTATCTTCAACACCTAACTGTGGCCCTTCGCCTAAATCTAAGTTTTCAACAATTTCTTCAGTTTCGGAAAAATCTTTTTTCCTGTCCCTGAACATCATTTGGGGAAATTTCATTTTCCTCCTTTCTACAAAGGCCTAGATCATCAATTTCAATCTGTGTGCATTGATCTGCAATGGTATTCTTAATAAACTTTACTAATCTGTGTTTTATGACTTTACCACACTGTGGGTGATAAACAAGGTAGGCTTGGCTGTTCTTATCATAACCGACAAATACTCCTTTCATACCTTTCATATTTCCTTGTTTTACTTTTGTAGCTTCTTGGTCTTTTCGTTGGTGTCTTCGACAGGTACTATCACTATGCGTTGTTGACTTGTGCTACGAGCACCACTTTCTTGTTTCACTCCCAGTTTTGTCAGGACAATCCTTCATGATATGACCTTTGCGACCACAAGCATAACATGTGACATAACTGGTTGCAGAAAACGATGGGGACTCAGTTTTCATTACTTTATCAGTCTTTGGCTTACAATTAAACTTCTCTGTTTCTTCAAAGCTTTTGAGTTGAGACTTGAACATAGCAAATGTAATTTCACTTGTACTTTGTGTAATATGGACAACAAAGGGTTTGTATGAATCAGGTAAACCTTTTAATATCATGGCAATAACAAGCCCGTCACTAAGTGAGTGTCTCTTTAGCGTTTTTCAGGGCCATATCGATCTTTCTGCTTGTATTAGATAGTCGTCTGTCACTGTCTCGCTTGTTCCTTTCTCGAGTGACGCGAGCTCAGTATAAAGTGCTATTATTCTAGGTTTACCTTGGCTTGCGTAGTGGTCTCGTAAAATCTTTAAGGTTTTCCTTCCATCGCCAGCGGCATCTCTCATCACTAACGATAGGCTAGTATCATCCAAAATTAATTTGTACCTTTGCACTATATGGAATCTTGTGACGAGCAATTCCAGTATTTTTCCACCATCGTAGATAAATCATAAACGAACATTTACCTTGGAAACAAATCAAAATCGATTCTAGTGACAAGCCTTGGATTACTTCCGAAATAAAATCTCTTATTTCCAAGCGGCAGACAGCATGGGCGGCTGGCAACAACCTGATGTTCAGATTCTATCGAAACAAAGTCAATGCACTTTGCAAGAAGGCACGACTAAATTACTAGAATAAAAGTATCGCGGGCGTTCAACAGTCCGATTCTCGTAAATGGTGGTCAGCGGTGAAGAATATTGCCGGACTTCAGTCTTCTAAGAATGTATCTACAAAAATGTTCGAAGGTAAATCCTATTCTGATGCGGATCTAGCAAATTTGCTCAATGACAAGTTCGTTCCTGTAGGGTCAGGCTCCTTACCCAGTCTGAACTGGTTCCCCCCTTCCCACAAATGACATTCCAGATTATTTCTGTATCTCTGTCGAGGAGACTGAAAAGGCTCTAATATCATCTAAACTTCATTCATCTGCTGGTCCCGATGAAATTCCTTCTTGTCTTCTCCGGGAAAACGCTTCAGTGTTGTGTCGACCTTTGTGTTCCATTTTTAATTCATCAGTTCGTGAAGGATTTGTTCCCTCAATATCGAAGGCAGCAAATGTTACACCAATTCAAAAAACCTTCGCCCCCTAAAGATGTTAATTCTGACTTCAGACCAATCTCCCTCACACCAATTATCAGCAAGATTCTTGAATCCTTTCCCTACAAATGGCTTCTTAACTCCGTCTCAAAAAAAATTGATCCCTTGCAATTTTGTTCGCTGAAGGGTTCAAGCACTAGTATGGCATTAATCTACATGCTACATAAATGGTATGAAGCAGCTGACAAACAAAGTAACATTATACAGATTTGTTTACTTGATTTTCCAAGGCGTTTGATCGATTAGATCATAACATTCTTTTGAAAAAATTGAAAGACATGGAAATTCATCCCGTGTTACTCAACTGGATCGCAAACTTTCTAACAGACAGACAACAAAGAACCCGTGTTGGTCAGTTCTTTTCTGAGTGGAAGTTTTTAAACGCCGGCGTTCCACAAGGAACAAAGCTTGGCCCGCTATTATTTTTGATTATGATCAATGACTTGGCTGTGGCGGATGAAACTGTTAAATTTGTTGATGATACTAGCCTTTGGGAAATAATATCAAACAATTCCCCGTCCTAGTTACCCGCTAACATCATCAGCTGCTCTGAATGGTCATCGGTCAATAATATGAAGTTAAATGTATCAAAGACCAAAGAATTGCGTGTCTGCTTTCCTAACCTTATTCCATCATTTGCCCCTATTACCATCCGTGGTCAAGAGGTCGACGTCGTTTCCGAGGCAAAATTATTGGGCGTTGTTCTTTCAGACGATCTTAAATGGAACCGCCATATTGACTACATTTGCAAGAAAGCCGCGAAGCGTTTGTATAGTCTGCGCCTTCTTAAAAGAAATGCTTTACCTTCTCATATCCTGATCTCAACCTATTGCACACATATTCGACCAATTGTGGAATATGCTTGTCAGGTGTGGCATTATGGCCTTCCTCAGTACCTGAGTGATCAAGTCGAAAAAATCCAAAAAAGGGCATTAAAAATTATTTTTCTTGGAACTACCTATGCTGAATGTTTGCTTAAAGCAAACTTAATGACCCTTTATGAACGTAGAATAGTTCTTTGCACGCGCCTTTTTTCGAAGATGTGGAACCCACTCATAAACTGAATGCCTTATTAAGGTACCGCCTAAAAATCTTCAAACTTATGATCTGAGGTCTTATTCTAACCTATTAGTACCTAGGTGTAGAACTGAACGTTTTTCGAACAGTTTCATTCCTGCTGCGTCTCGTGCTTATAATAATAAGTAAACTTTAGTTTATTATCGTGATTTTTTATCTAATTTACCTATTTTTACTTGTAAATATAGAATAGTTTGAATATCTATGTCCTTATACCTTGTAATTCCAAAGTAATTCAGTTGTTACTGCTAGTTTGGAAATTTATAATAATAATAA